AGAAGATACAGAAAGGACTTGACGGTTTCGAACAGTTCTGTGGAGTCCGGATGGATAAACTTGCCGGAAATAGCTGGGGCGCTGCCCCAACCAGCGGAAGTGGTGAGGTCACAGATGCGGAAATGGCGGACGCGGCATTCTTCAACTTGAATGCCGAAATGGCGACTCACCGAAGCGGGCATGCTTTACAGCCAGTGCCAGACACTTTGAACTCCAGTCCGGCTTCCCCTATAGCGTCTGTATCCTCTAGTGGGTTGGATAACCAGCTGCCGATGTTGCAAACGCAAACAGCTTTGCCTTCGCTGAAATCGAGTGGATTACTCGATTGGTCAAGTCGATCGTCAGCTGCTTCGCATGCAGAATCCACCTTGCATAACCATTCGCTACCTCAGCTCAGCATAGGAGCTGACAACCTTAACGCTTGTGTGAGTAACACTCCAAAGACTCCTGGGGGTGGGATCACTCCAATTGCGACTTCAACAGTCGTGTCTGCGTCTCTCTCAGCAACAAAGGCACCGGCAGACACGGTGATTGCATTGAATTCGACACAGCCTGGGACCTCAAATACCCAACATGGCAGGACAGGCTTGAGCTGGATGATGAATGAATAATAATTGGACTGTCTTAGACAATTTTGTACGTTCTCAACAGTCAGTCATCTGTTACAATATATATTTCTCTTATCGTCGTCTTTCAGATTGGTTTCTCTCTTCATTGGGTTGGCGTTTGCTATTTTCAATCTTGGGTTTGGTTCACATAGGGGGGGTTTTGCGCTCGTTAGTATCCGTCTCTCCAAGACTATATTTTCTAAAATTGGCTTTGCCAATACTTAGCTTATCAGATTATACTAGTAAAATTTCTGCTAATGAGATTCATCCTAGTACTCTCAGCTTCGTAAATACCTTCTTGAGCCTAAGCTTCTCACCCACCGTATCTTCCTTAACCGTCGGAAGCTTCTCGTAATTTTGTTCTCTCATCCATGATCATGACTACGGACAAAGCAGCACGAAGAGCCAAGTTCGAAAGCGTATGGAGCATGATTCATGATGAGCTCTTGGCTCATTTCAAGGCTTGTGGAATGCCAACAGAGGCTCAGGAGTGGTATTCCAAGGTCCGCAAGGCAGCGCAAAAACAGACTCTTTCTTTTCTGACTGTGTACCATTTTTCACAGAATTTGCAATACAATGTTCCCGGAGGGAAGCTGAACCGTGGAATGTCAGTAGTGGACACTGTCGAGATTCTCAAAGGCCGTCCGTTGTCAGAAGAGGAATATCTCCAAGTCGCTGTATTAGGTTGGGGTGTCGAGCTGGTATGTCACTCGATAGTTTAACTATTCTATCCATCTTACTATGCAAACCATGCAATTCAGCTTCAAGCCTTTTTCCTCGTTACTGACGACCTCATGGATTCTTCCATAACTCGTCGAGGCCAACCGTGTTATTATCGTGTTCCAGAAATCGGCCTTGTCGCTGTCAACGACGCGTTCATGCTCGAAGGAGCCATCTATCATTTACTCAAACTGCATTTTAAGAAGGAGCCATATTATGTTGATTTGCTCGAGTTGTTCCACGAAACATCGTACCAAACCGAAATGGGACAATTGATTGACCTGATAACCGCACCGGAGGACGTTGTTGATCTGAGCAGGTTTTCGTTGCAGAAGTATGTGGGTTTCACGCTCGCTGATAGCATACTCACATGCGTGTAGACACTCAATGATAGTGGTCTATAAAACCGCTTTCTACTCCTTCTACTTGCCTGTCGCTCTAGCGATGCTGTTTTGCCGCATTCCTACCTCATACACCCTACCTGGTTCCACCTCCCCAGTAGCTCCTTACGAGGTGGCGAAGGCTATCCTCATTCCCCTTGGCGAATATTTCCAGGTCCAAGACGATTTTCTCGACTTTGCTGGGCTTCCCGCGCAGATTGGAAAAGTTGGAACTGACATCGTTGACAACAAATGTTCATGGTGCATCAATACCGCCCTTTCGCTTGCCAGACCAGAACAAAGGAAGATTTTGGATGAAAACTATGGTGTGAAACCCACACAAGAGGAGAGAGAGATCGCGAAGAAGATGGCGGAAGGGAAGAATGGTGAGGAACAAGGATACCTTGGAGAAGCTGAGAAGCGCGTCAAGGCGGTTTACGAGGAGATCGGACTTCGGAAGATATACGCAGAATACGAGGAGAACATATACAAGGAACTGATGAGGCTGATTGATCAGATAGATGAAGGTTCTCCTGAGCAGGAAAGCGTTCTAAAAAAGGATGTTTTCAAAAGTTTCCTGGACAAAATACATCGCAGGAAAAAGTAGCCTTGTCAGAGCAAGCCTATTCTCTTTCTGGTAGCCATCTACACGGTATATTACCATCAATTTCCGTACCTGCGTATAATTTAGTGAAGCGGAAAGCGCGATTTGTCACGAGCCACGCGACCGATGTGACATGAACTCATGCTTTTTGAAGGCGAAAAGCTCAGGACAGTCCATAGCAGTCCTAAATCCTCATGTATCCTTGTATTAGCATCATATACTAACACCCCACTGTCTGAATTTTGAGTAAGTATCAAGTTTCTGCTCGTCTCTGCCGTTTCATCCTGTCTTCATCGGCTAGTTCAGAACTTTTGGTTGAGTACTCCTATCAGCTGAGCTTATGTTACTGCCATCTGAGAATACATTACTTTAGAGCATACATAGGGTCTTCCCGCCGGTTTCGTCTTGACAGGGAATGAAGGTCTGATTTGAAGGGCAAGCAAAAGATTAGCAACGTGTATAAGATCCTTACTCATCAAATTTGAACATGATAGATCATTAGATGCCATTTAATTGCCTCTGAATGCGCTGTCGACAAATACTTCCGGTTGCACTCAATATTTCCGTCGGGGTCACAGAAAGTGGGTTGTGCATAAGCACTCTCAGCTGGCTCAGCAATGGACTGATACTTCCGATGGAAATTCATCGTGAGCATGCGCTGTTTCTGGGGAAACAGAGAGTATGTACTGAAGGAGACGATAGTGAAGGGTCAGTTTCCGTCGCTTGTGTCCAGGTGCCGTTTGAAATATAACCCATCAGACCCTTACAGCATCGCCTTTGCTATATAAAGGTCAGGCTCTCTCATTTTTTCCTTCAGTTTTGCGCTCATCTTCTATCATCACCAGGCTGGTCCACGGTGTTCATTTCTACATATTATATTCAACATGTCGTCCCGTAAATCTTCTTCCAAACCTCTTCCCAAGTTCGACATCGGTATGTGTGCTGATCCCCCTTTCTTCGTTGTTGCTGATATTTGTTCTAGGTGAGGACTATCAGCTGTTGTACGCCCTTGGTCAGGGAGCGTACGGGACCGTCGCAGCTGGCATCCATAAACCCAGTGGTCGTCAAGTGGCTATCAAGAAGATTCTGCCTTTTGACCACACTTTATGTTGTCTACGAACCTTACGAGAACTCAAACTATTGAAATTCTTTTCTGGTTCTTGTGTCAACGAGAACGTAAGGAGCTCACTGTCTTATCATAACGTATGCTTAACCTCCTTGGCTAGATTATCACGGTTTTGGACATCGTGAAACCCTCGTCTTTAGAATCGTTCAAGGAAATCTATTGTGGGTCTCTCCTATGTTCGTTAAAATACCATCCTGATGTTTGGCTCAATGTATAGTCGTCCAGGAGCTCATGCAAACTGATCTGCACAGAGTCATCAGAACTCAGCATCTCACTGACGACCACTGTCAATACTTCGTCTACCAGACTCTTCGTGCCCTCAAGACGATTCACAGTGCGGACATTGTTCACCGCGATTTGAAACCAGCCAATCTCCTCCTCAACGCTAACTGTGACCTCAAAGTCTGTGATTTCGGGCTCGCTAGGAGTATCAAGACGACAGCCCCGGTTGGCAAAGGTCAAGGTGGAATGACTGAATACGTAGCTACCCGGTGGTACCGTGCTCCTGAAATAATGCTGTCTTTCAAGATGTATACCAAGGTCTGTCATGGGTGTATTTGATTCCTTCTAAGAGCGATTTTCTTAGTATAAGATCCCCATAGGCCGTTGATATGTGGGCCGTTGGCTGCATCCTTGCTGAGCTGATTTCCGGGCGCCCACTATTCCCCGGGCGCGACTACAGCCATCAACTCGATCTGGTGCTCGACGTTATCGGTACTCCGACCCTGGATGAATTTTATGCGATCACCTCACGGAGGTCGCGTGAATACATTCGGTCTTTGCCTATCCGTCGGAAGCGAAGCTTTGCCTCATTGTTCCCTCATGCTTCCTCTGATGCTATCGATTTCTTAAACAAGACCCTGGTAAGTTGATTTCTTTCGAATGAATGTTCATTCGTGATTTTAATGGTTTCTATCGTAGACATTCGACCCGAAGAAACGTATGACGGTTGAGGAAGCGCTTCAGCATCCCTACGTTGCTGCGTACCACGACGCCGACGATGAGCCTGCTGCTAGCTCTCTCAGCCCCGACTACTTCCAGTTTGATCGTAAGTAAATCCAAAACCGTCTGTGTAACTCACCACTCACCTTGTTTCCAGTTGAGAAAGAACAGTTGTCGAAAGATGATCTGAAGAAGTTGCTCTATGACGAGGTCATGTCCTTCCAGTCGGTCCTTGCCAACCCCACCGCCTGAATGCTTTCTGGTACAATCGACCCTGTTATTCTTCCCCCTTATGGATTGCTTTCTCGTTAGAGTTCAACCGTTCATCACTTTGCATTAGCAATTGATGTCTGTGTACACCGTTGCAGCTTCCACCTTCACGGGATACTTTAGCGTATATCATGTAACCTGGTGAGAAGCCCTTGTTGAGCGTCGAAGATGTCACGAAGGAGCACCACGAAATGTTTAGGATAATATAATATGTTGACTATAAGCAATTCACATGAGGAGCACTTGTCAGTGACCTTTTGAGTCGTCTTGTGTCTGAAGCTTTCAATATAACCGAAGAGAGTGACCGAGAGTGACCTAGAGTGACTCATCTCGCACCATATTTCTGAATAGCTTCCTTAGCTCAGTCGGTAGAGCGCGAGTCTCATAGGAATATGAGGACGTCTTAGTTCACAATCTCGAGGTCGCAAGTTCGAGCCTTGCAGGGAGCACGAGATGAATTTTTTTGTATTATTATGATACCTAACATTAATGATATTTCATTTACATGAGATACAACAAATCATTTTTTGGTCGTTCAATCGAGTATCGTTATCATGAGTCCAAAGCTGCAACTTACACTTGTGCCAATGGCTCATATTCGTAAGGAGCCGACCTCCCCATTCGCATAGAAAACACCCTCCGTACACCTGGCCAAAACCTTCTACCACCCTTCCTGCTACCCGGCTCCAGTTCACCTCTCTCTCCACGTCCTCTTTCCTCAAGCAGCCTCTCTTCCCTAGCTTTCTTAAACCCTCCTTCCGGAACATCATAACAAGTCTCCCATTGGACTCCCACCTCCTTACCCATTCCCCAAAAGTCCATACAATTCAAGTAAGGACCAAGGTCAAACGGATTCTGAGGAGCTCCTGCAACAGCCAATCCCCTGGTTGCACCCCCACGAGCGGTGAACCGGTCGAGACCAGTGATACGAAGGAGAAATGTCGCTCCGGGACAGGAAGCACATATTGAACAGATACGACAGGGTAGTGTGAGAAGCCCCCCAGAGCCACGTCGACTTTGTGGTCGGTTTGGCGAATGGGAATGAAGATTGAGTCCAGCTTCCAAAGATGCTGATGCGGAAAGCGGCGATTCGCCATTTTCGGGATGAGAATGCTGATTTTGTTGCGCTCCCATCTGACCGACTCCAATGACGCCCCGTCCGCCCATGAATCCGTACCGACCCAAATTACTGACTTCGAGGGAAGTCATCTGGCGAGAGATCTGCCAGAGTTGCGCGCCAAGAAGAATGATAGTCCAGGTAAGTTGAATGGCAGCCCAAAGAGCGGTAGTGACTAAAAAAATGTTAGATTTTGTAGTGAGGATCTGGCAAACAGGGTCTGGGAGAGGACAGGTGGGAGAAGCCTCTAACACCGGAGTGTTGGAGAAGTCTTTTTGATATGAATTAGTGATTAGCAGACCGAATGATAACAGGATACTTGCATTGGTAGGTAAGGTAGATGAAGGTGACTATTCCAATCACCAGGTTGAGAAGAAAGAGGACGAATTGTCGATGATTATTAGCTCCGACTGTTAAGTGGTATTAGATTTTGATTGTGCGTTACAACGAAAGAAAACCGACCACAATTCCAAATCCAAGGACAATGATGGTCGTGCCTTGCTGTACATCTATTGCATATACGACAATGTTTGGAGCGCAAAGGCTTGCGTGCCTAGAGCCAGCAGCTAGTGAGATTGAGAAAAAAACGAAAAGCATACAACGCACCATACAACTGACACAAAATGTTTGACCGTTCAACCTACCTTCACTAGCAAGCGTTTCGACAGAATCCAAAAGGCGGTTTGGAACATGTCCGGGATCCAAGCAGACGGCACGCCAGAAATTGTAAAGACAAAGAGATGCAGAGACAATGAAGATAAGGTGAGCGGTCGGATGGTCATGGACATTCGTAAGAGTCGTAGCCCAGCACCAAACGACAATGAGGAGTGACGCAAAAATGATCCCAGCAAAGAAGGGACTCTCAGCTTGTGGTTTTCGTCCGAGGAGAACGCGCGTGAGGACATGGCCTGCTGCAAAACACTCAGCCGCAGCAAGTATTAAAGAGGTGTACCAAGGAAGCCAGGAGACTGCGATGGTATTGAATACGAGAATAAGGAGAGGTGTCGGTAGAATGAATATGGCGATGGAGTTGTATTTAGGATTACTGAATACGGGTGTTCGAGGTGTACCGTACTCGTCCCATCCGCCTTCCTCCATAGCACGTTTCCAAGGCCCAATGCTTTTGAGTTCGATTGCCATCGCCCTGGGAGTTCGACCGCCTGAGTCTTTTGCAGAAACATCTGCACCGCTTTCTAGCAACTTCTTAATAACAGCTTTGTTGCCCCTAACGACTGCCCAATGTAAGGGGGTCAAACCACCCTCGTCTTTTGTGGATACATCCGCTCCGTGCTTGAGCAACACATCCACCGAAACAGCGTCCCCTTGGTAGGCCGCCCACATTAAAGCCGTGTGACCTTGGAGGTCAACCGAATCGACATCTACTTTTCGTTGCTGCAACAGATAAAGCAAAGGCATGACCGCCGATGAATGAGTTATGAGATGGAGTGTATTATATCCCTGGCCATCTTTGAGAGTCGGGTCCGCTCCCCACTCGAGGAGCAGTTTCACCACATACAGGTACCCGTTCCGGGCTGCCCATTGCATCGGGGTAGCATCCAGATCTCCTCCTCGGGCGTCAACTTCTGCACCTCTGTCGAGTAGCTCTCTACATATATGTAGATGCGCATTGATTGAAGCCCAGTGAAGAGCAGTGATGTTTTGAGAGTCCCGGTCGGTAGCCTGAGCACCCTGAGCGAGCAAAGATTGTAATAAGGAGAGGTCTCCACGCTGAGCAGCGAGAAATATTGTATCCGGCTCTTCTTGTACCACCGTTTGCGTTTCACTGATTGATGTAACCGGAGCTGCTTTACCGTTCGGTGTACCAGGCGTCGAAGGCATAATACGTCGTCGTAGTTTGTAACCCAAGCTCAGCTGCACAGCAATTCATATTATTATTAGACGCCCGTATGTCCTCGGTCACGCGATGCTGAAATTTTGACGCCAAAGTTGTTGCACGTTCCCGTCTGCAATGCAGACGGAAAAATCAAAGGACTTCTGATGGACCTCATTCTCATACTCAGCATCTGGACACTGTCAGTTTACGCAAGTATTAGATACACTCTGTGGAATCACAAATCCCAGTGATTGACGAGCTCCTACCAACTTGAAGTTCCACATTTGCCGTTCTCTGTTCTGTAGACAGTCAATCGGTAGTACATCTTCTGATGCGCCCTAGATTTTGTTTCTCGTTGATTCTATCATCAACTGAAATAGAGGGCTGCTGGAGTTTTGTATCTTCTGTCAGCCTAGAAAACATTGCTCTTGCTTCGGGTAGTCGCTATTCATGCACGACGCGCCTTCAACTAGGAGCCCAGCTCATTAGAGTTATCGCAGCGTTCACTCCTCCGCACCCCAGACAATATAAATATCCTGTACTTGCTCGGAATTATCTCCTGAAAAGTTCGGTCTAAATTCTGGTTTGTCTTAGCCCACAACATGGTCAGTCAAAAATAGAAACAAGGAAGATCGGTCGTGAATCCGAGTCGTACAAAATTAATCAGTCGCAGGGGCAGGATCTGTACGAATGGCGGTGGCACATAGTTAACCAAGGAGATTGGTACGTCTCTGATGGCGGACACACCCTCTATTGAGCCGGCCGCACCTGCTCGTGATGGCTCAAATGCAGAGGCCACAATTACTCAACGAACCGTGGTGCTCTGCCATCATATTTGAGCTAAATTTTATGACCAGGAATGCAAGCGTTTTGGTGTCTCTGCAGCTTTTGGCATTTCCTTGTTAATTCTCTCTTCATGGTGAATTCTAGTCTATTTACAGATAGTGACGGATCTCAGTGAATCCATGAAGGGAAGATTATCAAATATCAAGCAGCCAGGCAGGCTCAGCGGAGAAGTAGGAAGAAGTCCTATTCGAGTGAACATGATTTCTGCTACATTGATGCCTTGCGTAAATAAGAAAAGATTCGTTTGTCAGTTCTTCCTTTATTTCTCATGAATTTGACATGGGACACCATATTCTTTTTCCAAACCGGGAATTGGACTTCCTTCGCCCATGTCATTTTCGCGTTGCCCCCAATTGCTATATCCTCCGAGTCAAAGCAAGATTAGTCAAACGGAAAATTTTGCGAGTATAAGAAACATACGCTTGAGGCATTGCGAGCTCCAGTCTCGCAGCTGGAGGAAAGCTTATTTGACCTAGATTTGGCCCACACAAAGCAAATGCATTCTTCAAGCAAGAAACAGGGGTTCAGGACGAAAGCGAATTGAAGCTCTTAATGCACAGACTAAAGCCTATTAGGTATCATTCTTTATCTTCTGTAAAGCATGTACTGAGTGCTAAAATTCGTGTATCTATATCTTCAGATCTTCCAATCCCATATTTGAGTTTTCGATTTTACCAGATGCTGAAATGCACACAAACTAACGCTCAAAGCGAGTGCATGCTGCTGTTTGTTTTACTGTACCCCAGCTCTCGTTGTGTTCGCGGTTGACAGCCCCCTATAGTCGGATAGGATGCTAGGAATCATCCAGAACAGAATATTCTGGCCTCTGGTCTTCATGCTGGTGGGTCTTCGAGGTCGCTCATTTTTTAAAGCCACGCACGGCCCAGCTCAAGTGCTGATGTCCTTTGGGTATGTATTTGAAACATCCTTCGGGTCCAACTTCTCCTACCTCGAAAGGATCAACATTGAAACAAGTAGTCCTCCTTCAACATTCTCACATCGTTGAATCCCCTTTCCGCCTGCTACTGCGTAAACCTATTCCATATGTTTGACGAAGATACCCAGAGACAACTTACGAAAACCTTCGCAGGTCTTCTTTCTCCCGAGCCCGGATCCATGATACCTCACATGGCGTTGGCCACGGAGGGCATTCTGAAATAATCTGGTGTCAATACATTCATGTTCTGTCATTTACCTGATAGTTAGAAGGAGCTATGTATAGGGGAATACTTTTGAAAAGGATACAATGAATGTGTCAGAGACTGCCCCTTGAAGATAGCTAATACCATCGGAACATGCCAATTGTTTACATGGACTCATCTGTTACCTGCAATTAGCATTATGGTCTGATTCAAGAGATACTCGCCATATTCACTTTGTGTCCAAAAAGTCCGTTTATCCATGATCTAATATTGCACGGTGGCTGCATACTTCGTCGGGTTAAGTCGTAGCTCACACTATTAGCCTCTTATTTGAATAGCTAGCAAAGAGAAACATAAATAACGGCTGATCACATTAGCATTACGCTATCTCGATTTTCGATCCTCGAAAAAGTTCTGCATATGAAAATTAAGATGGAAAAAGACCCGGGGACAACTGAAGCCGTACCTTCAAATATCTTAACTGCCAAACACACGTAACAATGAGCACCA